CCCGGCCCGCCCGGCTGCGGCCGCGGCTGCGGGGCGAGCTCTGGGCAACGGGCTGCGGGGCTCTCCCTTCCCTTCCCTTCGTCTTCCTCTTCCTGCCCCTTCCCTCACTCTTTTCCCTTCCCCTTCCTTCCCCACTGCCCCCTTCCTTCCTTCCCCTTCCCTCGCTCTTTCCTTCCTCTTCCCCTTCCCCCTCTACTTCCAGGGCTTGGCGCTGGGCTGAGGCTCGGCCGGGTGCCGGCCGGCTGTCCCCAGGTCTTTCCACCAGCACACGTTGTCTGGAGGTCTGCCTTCCGCCTGGCCCGGTTGTGCCACCTCTGCCCGCCATCGCAGAGGACAGTCTGGTTTTCTGCTGCTCTGTCCGCTATTGATACAGCACCCAACACCTTTATGTCCTCTGTTTTTCTCTTCAAGACAAAAATAGAGGACACAAAGGAGTTCGGTTTCGTATCAATACAGGACAGAGAACAAACGGACTGTCCTTTCTGATGGCCACCCTAGCCCACCACCAGCTTGCAGGCCGGGACTAAGCCACAAGCAGAGCACTTGTTTTGGGAGTCCAGAGTCAGGCATCCGCGCACAAGGTCCAGCCCAGCGAAGCTGGCGGTTGTGGCCTGCCACGGTACTCTGTGCTGGTGATGCAGGCCCAGCAAGAATGGGATGCTGGCACTGGCACGGCCATCTTCCTGGGTGATGTGGGGGAGTGTCGGTGATCCCCCTCCAGGCTGTTGAGGTGACAGCGGTAGTCACCCATGTTTCATATCCATACAGGAGAGTGGGGATGATGACTGCACTGCAGACCCTGGTGTCTTACCAGAATTGGTGATGAATAAAGACATGCTAGAGTAGATCCTGTGCTGGATCTCCTCATCCATACTCTCTCTGGGAGGTATCAGGGGAAGGGATCCACTGCCTCCAGGGTTTTAGCATTGCAGGCAGCAAGCAGAATGCCCCGTCCCTCTAATGGGAGATGTTCCAGTGGACACCATGGCCTCGCACCCTCCATGTGTGTAGTCACTGAGAAGGGAGGCAGCAGGTTTAGTGTAAAAAGCATCTCAAGCCTAATCGGCTTGGCTTGCAGCTGTTATTCCCCTGCAGCGGCCATCTCCACTCCCTATGCAGGCTGCAGGCAGTGTTGTTCTTGCTGTGGCCGGAGCAGCCAGGGATGAATCCCATCAGGTGCCGTCCACTTAGAAAGAGGTGGTCCTTGCTCTGCAGAGCTGATCATTTCAAGAGGCAGGCTAGGCAGGCGCTTAGAGGGGAAACAGAGGCATGAAGACAGGTTGCGACTTGCCAAAAGTTTTATGGCAGGTGAGCAGATCAGGACAGAGGAGTTTTGGGCCCGCAAATCAATGCTGCTTATCTGGAAATGCACATTCCCTTCCCCACTTAATTCATAAACTTCTTGGAGTAGCCATGAGGAGACAACAAGGAGTCATGTTCACCCAGCATGAGTTACAACACAACCCATCAACCCAATCAGCCGTGTCCCAGAAATGTCAACCCAGGTGGGGGAATGTTTGGGGACACGAGGGTTGTATAAAGAGCGGGGTTTGGAGCGGAAAGTGTCTGGTAATCTTTATCATAGCAGTCCCTGCCGGCACCCCGGTGCTGCTATGATTCTGTGACAGGGGCCATTTTCTTCCTAAGTAAGGCCTCAGATAATAAAATGAGCTCTTGCCTCATTCAAAAACTCACAATGAAATCAGGAGGATTGGCAACACCGGGATACCGACCCAGAAGGTAATTCACTGGGATGCACATTGAAAAGCAGGGGTTGCCCTTGACATCCAAGAACCATCTTGGCCCACATAACTCATGAGACTTGCTTAAAAACTGTAAGTTTAAAAATGCGATAGTAGTATGTCTGGGGATTTTTTTGTCTCTTGGTGTCCGAGCTTCTAAGTTGCCCAAACTTCAATCTTCACCAACAAGGCAGGAAACGCCCTATTTTTTAATGGAAAAACTGAGATTTTCACTTAATAACATGACTCCAGGAGCTGGGGCTTTGAGAAACTTCAAACTCTGGTAAGACTTGAACTACTAAATTTATGACAGCTGGCAGCAAGGGAAAGCTACACACTCGAGTCACTTGTGCTCGTGGTTTTTCTCTGGTAGCAGCTTGTTGTGTGTGTGCATGTCCAGAACACGTACTGCTGTCAGATGTGTGCATGAGTCAATGGGCTGACCGCTGGACCGGTGTCTGTCGATGAAAACTGCAGGCTGGTGGATGGGGTGCTGAGTCCGTATTTGTGAATGGAGATTAAGACCAAGGCAGGAGTAGGTGCACTCGCATCGTTCACACGGAGCTTTGTATTGGAGGTCTGAGGAGTGGCGGGAGGCAGCCGCGCTGAACCTGGGGCCGGAGGTATTGTGTGGGTTGTGAGTGAGGAGATAGCAGGGAGCTTGCAGCTGGCGGTGGCGTGCCTGCTGTGTGTGAGGAGGTGGCAGGGAGCTTGCGGCTGCCTGGGGGGTGTTTGCTGAGGGGGTGTTAAGACTCTGCCTGCCAGCTGTCCAGGAGAATAAATCTCCTTGTTTAATCAGAGCTTTGAGAGACACACCATTGTCTTTAATACCAAACAAGCCTGATAAAAACCTGCCTTCGCCATCTGCTCTTTCTTCACGCTCCCTCCCAATTCTCCTCTTGGCTTCCCCTTCCCTCCCTGCCCCCATCTGAAAGGTGATGGCCAGTTATAAGGCACAGAAACAGAAACTCTCCTTGCTTTCCTGACCATTCCTTGGCCATTTGGGACTCTTTCCCCCTTTTCTTTCATTAGTGCTATTGTCCGGTCCCCTGGACAGGGGGATACCTTTTGTGACAGGCTATCACACTGAGCTCATGGGCAGAGACCAGAAAGATAGAGGGAGGGCGGCAGATATGGCAGGCCAGACAGGAAGACACACTGTAGGAGACAGATTTTTCTCTTTCCATTTGCTTTGCATCTGTAATTCCACGGCACGTTAAAGGGAGCAGCAGGTAGAGTCCTTCATGAATGGAGAGAGGACTATAAGCAAGGGAGTGGGTCATGCACATACAGAAATCCATCACCCTGCCATGCAGGCCCTTGAATGTGAGTGAAAGGCCCGTGGCATTGAAAGCATGTCTGGAGACAGGTGTTCAGCATGGCTGACTCAGGCGCTGCTCATGTGTTTTTGCACTATGGAGCGGCATTTAAAAACTCCTGACTGTGGAACAGCTTCCAAAGGGCACAGCATGCCAGCCAAGCTGTGCTCATGGCCCTTGGTGTGGCGCTATCCCCATGGCTGACGTGCTGGCCTAGCTGGGGCCTACCAGACCACTTCCTTCCGGACTTGCCCCTGTGCAGACAAGCCTGCTTTCCTTCAGCTAGAGGGGGAAATCAGTAGAGGGGATGAGGGTGGGGAAATAGAGCTTGATTTGCAGAGCCAGGATGGATGTAAATCAGGATGGATTTCCCCCGGCCCAGGATCTGGCCTCATCAGACCCTAACCATCCTGGATGAGATATGTTCAGACTTGCTGATTCCTCTTCCCAGCTGAGGTTGCACTGGCTGGGGCCAGGTGCTGATCTAAGCCACTTTAGGAACGATTTCCTCCCCCGGGTCCTTCCTTGGAACAATAACAGCTGGGAAGCAAGGTAGAACTGGACTGCAATGTGGTCCACGGACAAAGGCTGGGATGGTAGGGGGAAGG